TAAACCCAAAAAAAAGTCATCATCATGTATAAATCGACTGTACCTCGCACTCGGGCATACCGGATTTCGAGGCCTGCCGAGAACGCTGGCCATCGGCCGTGGCACAAGAGAGAGAGAAAAAAACGAGTGCCGAGCGAGACCGTCCCACCAGCTCCGTCCACCAGAGAAAGAGGGGTTAACCCTCGGATGCTACACGGAGGACGGGGCCAGTGTATATGGATAGTGGGGGGAGGCCATTTGCATCGGAATGCAAGCCCCCGCGCCGTGCCACACGCCTCAGCCCCGCTTCCCCCCACCGTTTTCAACATACACACGTTACTCTCAATATATACCATTGCTCGTATTTTATATGTGTATTGAACCGCGTGAAAAGCACTCGCTGAATTCCCCGTTTTCCATTCGATTAATAATTCTTCTTTCATCGAATTTATGAGAATTTCGTACTTTCTAAAATTATCGTTGGAGTTTTAATCAACTTTTGTGGGATTTTATGTTTATGTGATGAATAATTTGAACCTCGGTTTCATGGGGATTGAGGGAGGCAATTAAAACATTTATAAATTCAGATTCCGAGAATTTTGAGGATATTCAAATATCCCAGACAAATTACATTCGCGGGAATGATTATACTAATGTTTTGAATTTATGAAGTTTATCGGGATGGATATAACAGATGATATTGTTAAACTCCAAATTAACTATTCATAAATTAAAATAGAAACCTGATGAAAGTGTGACTTGAAAATAAAATCGAAACAGAATTCGCCATCTATAACGACACGGAAGTTTTTCTTTCCAAGATCATGTGAAAAGAACGTGAATTTGGTCAATTCATCATGTTTATATAAGATCCCTGGTTGTCAACTCAAACAAAACTTCGACACCGCTTAGTAATATTGATCATTTATATCAATTAATTCCAGTCAAGTAGAATATAACATCTATTGAATGAAAATAGCTCAGAAATTTAATTCTTCACTGACAAATTTCATAATTGAAAAGATTTAAATGTAGAAAAATGATGAGGAAATTGCGTAGGTGAGTTTTGGATTTTGATAAATGGTAGAATGGAGATTGAGTATGCTACCAAGGCGTGTTAATGCTGGCACAATAAAAGAATCATTAGACAAGTCGTTAAACGAATAGACACGAATTATTTATGATCAGGATAAATTATACGGGCTTTATGGTATTTATAATTGAATCGCCTTTTTCAATTTTCAACCATCATTCAGAGGGATGAATAATCTAAAATTTCAAGAGAATGAAGTTTGAGTGAAAAATTGTCTTCGATTTCTTTGAGACTCTAGTCTAAAAATATACAAGACCAGCGGACAGCATTCGCTGGGGCAGTAAATCAACCGGCAGTTTGGTTGTTGGCTGTGTGTGCGTGTAGGAATTTGAAAAATTTCACGATTCGTAAAATGTAAACGTTGTGCTGACGTAGGTACCTCTGTTGGCTTTGGTTTATTCCTTAGGTAGGTAAGACACACGCTGGGGAATGGGTAGGAAATGGAAAGAAAGAAATTATGTGCTGTTGGGTGCCTAATGCCACCGGAAATACAATCATTTCCCACGCCAGGGCCACTTCCTGTTTCTGTATGGTTTAAGGTTTTTAGTGCGGTTTTTTTTTGAGATATGGCATTTAGGGAGGTTAACAAAGGAATTTTCTCGGGGGAATCTTTATGGAATTTTGCAATTATTCTGCGAGGGAAAATATTGCAGATGGGGCAGATGTTCAACATTTTTTCATCAGATTGGGGAATTGGATGATTTGAGGGAAAATTTTCTTAGCTTTCAAAAACGTATTCTGACGTGTTGTCGTAGAGTCAGTTATTGAAGGTAATTAATAATTACCAGGTCGAATCTTTATGTAACGTAAAATGCCCTAGGGGCAGACGTTAAATTTTGAGATGATTGATTCACGTTTTTTGAATTGATCATAAATTTCAGCAAAATTGCACGTAGAGTTGTCGAGAGGCATTTTTTGTTTGCAATTTTGTTGGCTCGAGAGCAATACATTCAACTATTCTCGAACATCAGCGCTACACAATACCTTAAAAATGGAGGTTTTCTCATTTATGAAATAATGTTTTCAATTTTCAAGAGTTCTTGAGGGAATCGGTAGGCATTATTATGTATGACTTTAATAAGTTTATCTATTCCGTTGATTAATTTTAGTTCATGGTCCATGGTTCAATGTTCAAGCTCACATGACTCAGACGGAATGCCTGATCGGTTGACGCCCACAATCCGCGTTCTTCTCTTTTCAGAATGTCTCCAACAGTTTTGATGCTCAGACAGGAAGTCAAAAGTTAAACTCAAATTCGTGAGTGGCCCCGTCTGAGAGGGAAATAACCTGGAGGAAGGCCCCGTTAAACATGACCCGCATCGTCGGGCCCAGTGTGATATTTATGTCGCTGTTCGGAGTATATCTGTTGCCTCAAAATTCACGAGTCTCTCGAACGAATTCGCAGCCTCTTTATTCCCGTGAGATTATCAATTATTCGGCAATAATTTAAAGTACTCAATATCGTTAATGAGCAGTTTTTTTGCGGACACTGTTGGAATTCATGCCTGAATACAAAAATTAATTTCTTAGTTTAGTTAAACATTTTCTCTTTTCCACCCAAACACTCAGGGTGACATTTATGGCTTTTCTTAGAAAATAGAGACGTGAAGAAAAACAGTCCTCATGGTGAGTCACAAAGGAGAGGCTGAAGAAAATTGAAACAAGGGCCTTTTGTCAAATGGGTCCAGAGAGTGAAAACTCTCATGACTTTTAGTTAGTCGTCCTAGAGACTTCGTTGGAGAAAGATATACCTTCTGCGTGCGATCATTAAAGAGTTTTACTTTGAAGAATAAAACTAATGTGTTTTTATTGAGTATTCCTACACATAATCCAATAGACACCTTTTAATTGAATGGAAATTGTGAAATTTTCATAGGAACTTTCCTTGTACACAAAAATGAACGATTGAAAAACGAATTCAATTTGTCGTTGAAATTTGTTACGGAAAGACTACTATGAGTTTTAAAAGTCACGGGAAATTGGAATGAGATTTCTTTGATTGAAGATTGATTATATCGACTAAAAATGAATAATTAGCGCAAAAAAATTGTTTATTGTTCGTTTGCCCCGCAGATGCTTAAATGGTTAAAAATAGTCCAGCGCCTCCAATTTTTTAGCTACAGAGGTTTTTTGTCCAAATTTACAAAAAATGTGTACAATAGCAATTACGAATTATTTTTCTGAAATTCGAATCCTACATCGCCAATTTCGTTTTTTTTTTAATACGAAATTGCACCATTCATGTAAAATAGCCCAAAAAATGTTTCTGAAAGAAATCCGGTTGTGTGGCACACTTGGTAGCAGCATGAGATTCACAACCTCAAGCTCCCAGGTTCGAGCCCCGACCGGGCTAAAAATTCCACAGCAATTTTTCATCACAAATTTCCACATAATATTCATCTGAAAATTTAACACAGTTTTCAAACCGAATATTCCACAGATTTTCCAAGTGAAAAAACCCACTCCACATTCAACATTTCCTGGCTGAAGGCCTTCGGGCGATGGCCGCGTTGGCAAGTTAACCCTTGCAACAAAAAATCGGTGAAATTTTTGTTTCTGAAAGAATCGAAAATATGTTTTAAACATTATAAGGATATTTTTTGTCTACTTACATGAATGGCGCAAATTTTTATATTAAACACAACAAAATTAGTTGTGTTTGAATCGAATTTCAAAATACTAATTCGTCATTGTTATCGTACACATTTTTTCAAAAATTTTGAAAAAAAACCTCTATAGCTGAAAATTGGAGGCCCGGGACTATTTTTAACATTTTAAGCCTGTGCGGGGCAGACAATCAATAAATTTTTCTTCCACTAATTATTCATTTTTGGATATATATTACGGGTCTGCTCGCTCCGCTCTCCAACCCCCATATGACCCACATATGACCCCCACAATCCTTATTCTGACCCTTGAAACTCTTAGTCTCACCCTCGCTCATTCTGACCCTCATAATACTCTTCGTGACTCTTATTTCGACCCTTAATGTTGGAGTTTTAATTTCCTGTATTAAATTTTCATCACCAGAAGTCGACTTGGATATTTATAATGGAGAAAAGATATATAGAGACCCTTATTTGGATCCTTAATCTGACCCTGATTATAACCCTCGTGACCCTTATTTCGACCCTGGTGACCTTTACTTTCTTTCCCTTGGTTTTTGATGCCCATGACCCTTATTTAGACCCTTACTATGATCCTTGTAATCCCGAATCTGAATTTTGTGACCCTTATTTAGACCTTTAATCTGATCCTTGATGTCCTCATTAAGATCCTTAATCTGACCCATGAGACCCTTATTCTGCCCTTAATCCGATTCTCGTAATCCTTACTCTATCCTCATGATCCTTATTTTGACTCTTATGACCTTGATTTTTGAGGTCTTAATTTCGAGTACCAAATTTTCTTCACCAGAAGTCGATTTAGATTTGTATAATATAGAGAGACAATCGATCTTCTATGCATGAGAAATCTCACTCCAATTTCCCGCGACTTTTAAAACTCATAGTAATCCCCCTTAAACAAATAGATCGGAATAAGAGGAAAATGCCGACATGTTTACAAGGACTTGTTGTAACTCTCACTTCATTCTACAAAATAAATTGTCATGAGAGTTTATCTTTTTCTCCACCAGGTCCAAAGATATTAATTAAAAACTGACAGATGAGCCCAATTTTCCGCCATCCTCAGTTTTTGAAAAATACCTTGGAAAAAATTCCTCAACGTTTTCTGAAACTTCCTCCCATTCGCATTATCATTCAAATTATTAAATTTCACAAACCGATGATTTCGAAGGCGAGCAACCACTCGTTCCAGTATAATTACATTTACGTTGTGGCGTGAGAATCAAATCCACCGTCAATGAAATTAAAAGGTCAAATTTGGACGAAAAACGTCAAAAAGATTTTTTCAATTTCTTACTCACCTCGAGTACGTCCTGTGCGGTTTGCAGGTACTCTCTGAGCATGGCCTCTTGTATGGCCCTCCATTCTTGCCTCGGGTCCTCAAGCTGGGTCGTCTCTGTATCACGAAATTAATAAAGCCTAAATTAATATACTGAAAGTAAAAAACAAATCATTTTTTAATGAAATTCAACAGCCGTTTACAGTAAGAATCACATCAATAGGAGTCGAAATTCACAATCATCAATTTTCTCAGTAAAAACGCATGAGAGAAATTTGAAAAATTTCACCAACGAATAAAAATAATTATTTTCTTCAACGTCTCCTTCTTGTGAATGACTAAGGAAATCCCTGATCTTGTTCGTGTATGAACAGTTTACTTTTTGCCATTCAAATCGTGAAAAAATTTTCATTTTTTTCTCGAATGTCCTAAAAAAGTGGATAATTTCTTGAAATAGAAAAAAAAATCTGGAGATGTTCTCGATTTTTCTGAATATAAAATGACATGTCCACGACAAAAAATAAAAGGATGAATTATTACAAATGATAAGTAAATGGAGAATAAAATTTAATTGAAAAATCGAGTCATAAAATCAGTTATAAAATCTTTATAAACTAGACTTAAGTGGGGCTTAAATGGGAATTCTAATGTTCAACTACGGATGTGGAGAAGCATTTCAAAGAAAAAAAGGCCGCAGTATTTGGATATCCTAAAGGGGTAACAGAATGCCGCTAAGTTCCCAAATTTTCTAACAAATTTCCTGCCGAAAGTTATCGATCTTTCGACAAATCAAAGCACATTAATCTCCAGGAGGTGAAGATGAAGATCAATGTGCTTTGGCTTGGAAAAATATTAATAATTTTGAGCAGGAAATTCGTTTTCCTGCTCAAAGGAATACGATCTTCCTCCTCTAGTGGAGAGGGAGAGAGCGGAATTTCCAAACACGCGTCAAACGGAGTGGGACAAACAAAAAATTGCTCGTGAATTTATCCCCGAGGTGATCGGTCATTCGGGTTCCAAAATACTGACACGAAATTACCAGAAACACGAGGAATTTCTCGTCAGTTATTTCGAGTAAAAGTTACGAAATAGTGATGCCGCAAGACAAGACGAGACGAGAATCGGCTACTCTCGTGTCTTGTCTCGCCGTGTGGTGGAAACTCTCTCGTTTTGTCTTGTATCGCCGGGCGAGACAAAACCCTTCTCTCGTCTTGCCAAGAGAGCAAGATTTTTGTCGTCTTGTCTTGTCTTGCGTTCTCTCGAATCATTTGAAATTTCTGCCGGCTGATAAAAATATATATGAACTGTTCCACCGAATATCGAAGGAAAATCCAGCCTCAAAATTTGGGATGATTTAGTTTTTGTTTCTTTCGAATACTTATAAAAAAGAGAATATGTGACTAGCCAAAATCCCGCGGGTTAATCAGTTACGCTCTGCGAGATTGTAAGATTTCGTCTCGTTATTCTTCGATCTAATTTAATGATTTTGAAAATTTAAAAAACGAACTCGAAGCATGGATTTTGCTCTTAAATTTTCTGAACTTTCAAAAAATGATGATCATTTTTCTCCCGACTTCAATTTCATTATGCAAATGGAAAAATAAAACTGCAAACGTTGATTTCCGTCTGTTTTCCATTTTTTCCTCTAATCTGATAATTTTTAGAAAAAATCCATATTTTTGATTGGAATAATGTTTCAAAATTGTTCGCCTGTACGCTGCAGAGTCAAACCGAAAATTGGGAACAAAAAATGACCATCCCAAAAATAGATTCTCCCTCGTTTCATAATTTATTCATAATTTTCATTCATAAGATAATCATTTTTATTGGTACATCTTGCTTTCTCATTTATTAGTAACGTTATAATATGCAGAGACCATAAGAAATCGATTTTTGGAATATTCATTTTTTATTCTTCATTCTCATTCTGACTCTGCAGCATACTAGCATACAAGCAAAAAGTTGTGAAATATGATCTCGATCGGAATTGGTTTGATTTATTAATCTTTTCTGACATTTGGAATTTTCGTGTCGAATGAAAATTTTGAACATTCGCATTTATTATAAATTTCAAAATATTGCTGATAAACCATAGCAATAAATCTTCTCACCACGACAGCAGCTGAAGACTCTAGACTTTTCTCCACATGTGGACTTATAAATCAAGGGTTTAATCTTTGTGTGTTTACTGACAAATTTTTTCTATCGGCCTTCTACCCTTCTTTATGGCACCTTTCCTACCTTTTCGGCAAACCGATTGTTCGATTCGCCGTACCATGTGTTGTTTTATATCTCCAAGCGTACCCTTCACCGATTGTACCTCTTGGACATACCTCCCCCGCGGACCCCATCTTCTCTCCTAATTTATTGCACGATTTCAAAATTTTTCCCAAATTTTCGGGAAGGTCGAGAAACTGCGGCCGCAGCATTTCGGTCACTTTGAGTTCAACTAACGTCGAGAATACTTCGTACCTTCTTCGCCAACAACCAAAGTTTTTTTTAACGATCGTATGGGTATGTGTAACTGAGTGTATGTTATTCGTGTGGATTCAAGTAAACAGTGATCATTAATTGCTATGATGAAAAGAACCAGTGAAAGTTCTCCGAGCACACAGCAAGCTAAAAAATCGAAGACTAATGATGGCAGTGCATTTATCGGTGAACGTTGGAATCCGTATTTTGAAGGAATATTCAAGGATACTATCAAATTTGGGAAGTGTAAACTTTGCAAAGCCAATGCCATCCAAGTAGATGTTAAAATGTCAAATGGTAACACATCAGGGCTAAAGTGGCACTTGAAGAAAAATCACAAGGACATTTACTGCAAACTTTTCCCAATAAGTGAGGATGTTGATAATATACAGACGACAAGAGAAAACCTTCATGGTATTACCACAAAGGTGAATATTTATTTTTTTACCATTCTTTATTGCTATTATTATTATGTCCATTATTTATTCTTTCATTTGCGTAAATTATTCATTTTTCTTCACGTAAATATAACGGGTGATCCACAAATTACCAACCAATGTTTTTGCACGGACATTTTCCTTTCATGGCCAAGATTTCTAGCCCGTATTAAAAATATTATTTTTGGGGAGAGTCAAGTATCAAGTGTCAGACTTTTTCAGACTCTGCCCCAAGTGACCCTCATGGCCCTCGACTCACCCCCAAGTTACCCTCGTGATGCTTGACTCTCTTCAAATGACCCTCATGACCCTCGACTCGTCCCAAAGTGACCCTTATGATCCTCGGCTCAGCCCCTTGTGACCCTTTTTTTAATTGAAAAACAAAAAAGTGTATAAGCTCGATAAAGGGGTGGACAATACGTTCTCAAATTGTATGGGTCGAATTTTAGTTTTTACTCTTTTTTCCCATTATTTTTCCAATTAACAAAACCAAAAAAAGTTGTTTTCTGAATCAATAAAAAAAAGTGGATAAACTCGATACAAGGGTGGAGAGTATTTTCTCAAATTGTTGGGATCCCATGTACCTCGACATTCATTGAAAAAATCAAATTATGAAATTGATTGAAATAATCTGTTTTTGTTAATAACAAAAAAACCTCTGAGTAAAAACAATAAATATTCGTGGATAAACTCCACATAGATATAATCTATATACCCAAGAAATTTGATAGTCCTCAGATTATTTAAACAATTAGATATGAAATTGAATCTTCCACTAGCGAATCTTCCGCTAGTTTCAGCTTCATGTAATTTGTGAACTAAGCTATAAAAAAAAATGAAATCACTGATTCCTTATTTTCAATTGGTGAATTGATGAGCTATTATTTTCTCTCCTAGATTGTGGATGAACGAACATTTCATTTGGACTTGGTGGAATGGGTTTGCATCAAATATCTGCCTTTGAACTTCTTCAACGATGAATCAACTCAAACATTCATGCGTGGTAAAAGTCCACATTATCATTATCCTAAACGAACTGCGATGACAGATCTGGCCTCATCCACGTATCGAGATATGCGAGACAGAGTGATGGAGATTCTACAGAAAAATGCGTCTAAAATATCGTTCACTATGGATGGATGGACATCAATCAGAGGGAAGTCTTATTATGGCATCACCGCTCACTTCATTGATGCATCGTGGAAAATGCACTCACTTGCTGTAGATTTCATTCCCTGTGTAGGACGACACTCGGGATTCGACATGGCCAACATGTTCTATGATTCGTTGAAGAAATCTGGATTGTTAAATAAAATACAAGGGATCACCCTCGACAATGCCTCTGTCAACACCGTATTTATGAAAGAACTCGGTAAATTATTAGGGAACGACGGAAGGGAATTTGATGTCAAGAATCAACATTTTCATTGTTTTGCACATGTCATAAATTTGGCTGTCCAAGATACTCTCAAAATGTTGAAATTGGAGCATTGTGCGGATGATTCCATAGACGGAATGGACTCTGAGGACGAATCGACTGATGAAGAAATGGAAGAAAATCCTGAAGAGAGCAACACCAATTCGCCGATTGCTAGACTTCGCAGCATCTGTAAAAAACTGAAAAAGTCTGAACAGTTGAAGAACAAATTCAGAAATTGTTGCTCAGCCTTCCAAGAAGATTTCATTCATTTACCCTTGGATGTCTCAACGAGATGGAATAGTACGCACGATTTGATTGCCGCAGGGTTAAGGATGCAGAAATCGATCTCTGCTTTAGCACAGAATAACGCAACGTAATCTCATTTGCTCATTGAGAAAGAAGAATGGATTTTCCTCGGAAAATTGCGAAACTTCTTGCAGTGCTTCAAAAAATTTTCAAACGTCTTGGGAGGAGATCGATATCCAACTATTGCTTCAGTTGTTGTAGGAGTCAACATTTTGCTTGACAGTACAGAAGTGCTGTGTAAATCTCTTGATGACAAACCCGGTCGCGATAAAACGGATGAAAATCTGATTCTCGCCTTTCAAGCAGAACGTGATAAATTGATCAAACATTATAATAAGTCAAATTGGATTTATGGTGCTGTACTGGTCTTGGATCCACGGCACAAGCTGGAGACGTTTGATAGAACCCAATGGGGGAAGGATCTCAAGAAGGAATCGTATGACAAATTTGAAGAGATTTTCCGAACAGAATACGCTGCTTCGTTAGACAACCCACCATCGGAGGGAATTATTTCCATTAGTAATGACTCGGAAATGGATGAATATACAAAAGCATTGAATTCAATATACAGTACAGAGAAGAAACGAGATTGGAAGACGGAAGTCGAGAATTATCTGAAACTGGATCGAGAGAATAAGGATGTAGATATTCTGGAATGGTGGTCTCAAAAAGAGCAGAATTTTCCAAATTTAGCAAGAATGGCTCGAGATTATTCATCAATTTGTGGATCGAGCGTACCTTCTGAACGATTATTCAACAAAGCCGGACTCATTATTCGAAAACACAGGAATCGATTGTCCAACAAACATATTGAATTACTTTTGTGCATGAACTCTTCGTTCACGTCTGAACTAGCTCCAAAGATATAACTCCAACTATTGTCATAGGAGAATGAAAAAAACTAGAGCATTGGTGATGTTTGTATGATTGATAAAGGTTTGTTTGTTTGTAATAAACAAACATATTTAATCATTTCCGTGCATGAATACTTTGTTCACGCCTGAGCTAACTCCAAAGATGAAACCAACTATTGTGAAGTGAGAAAGTAGAAAGATAGAGCAGTTAATTGATGTTTTCATGATCTATCTGAGATATTGTCCGCTAAATGAGCCAACGGCTGACCCTCACCCTCTTGGAGATTGATGGAGATTTTTTCTACGATTGGAGGGCTAAAAAATCGATCTCTTAATTTTTTCTGATTTTTTTCAACAACTTATTTTGGAGATATGATGTTTCCTTTGTTTTTTGGGCTTTTTTTTCCATAATTTGGTTTCTATTTCTCCAATTTTTATTTATCACGCATCGAAATATCCCATTTTCTACCGCTTACAAGAATGTTTTGGGTATTTTTTTTTCACTCTCTAAATACTCAACAAATTTTTTTTTTAAGTTGAAAAACTTGAATTTTAGAAGTTACGTCATATTTAATTTTTCTTATCTCTTTTTCAGTAATTCTTATAATAAGAACCAGTATTTTGAGCCGTCATGAAAGTTGAGTTTTTTCCTAGATCGGTTTCTTTTTTTTTCCGAAATTCCGCAAATTTGATGAAAATACCTTAAAATGACGTTGATTGACTTTGATTATGAACAGATTATGGGGTGAATTCGAATGTATACCCAATGTTACTCATTATTCCGAAACATGATCGAAGTTTTTTTGGGTTGTCTTGGCCAAATGCGTGTAATTTTGAAAATTCAAAATTAAAATAAAATATATCCAGGACGGCAGCCAACTTGTATGACGACTCAAAATACTTGTTTCTATTATAAAAGTTACTGAGAAAAATATGAGAAAAATAAAACGTGACGTAATTTTGAAAGATCAAGTATTCCAACGATTTTTTTTTTAATTGGTTATTATGAGCACCGAGGGATCGAAAAATGAAATCTGGCCCAAAATATTCTCATAGATGGTGGGAAATGGAACATTTGCGAGGACGATGAATTAAAATCGGATAAGTAGAATTAGAATTAATGGGGAAAAAAAGCCCAAAAAAAATATTATACCTCCGAAATGAGCTGTCGAAAAAATCTGAAAAAATTACGAGTTAGTTTCCCTAGCCCCCCAATCACAGAAAAATCACCATCAATCACTCATTTTGCATGGAATACCTCAGATAGAATAGATTAGTATTGAATATAAAGCACGGGAATCGATAATATACTAAACATACTCGTATTGAATGATTTTTATGCATGAACTCTTGGTTCACGTCTGAATAAGTTCCAAACATGAAACTCCAACTATTGTGATGTGAGAAAGTAGAGAAATAGAACATTTATGATGTTTATATGATGTATAGGGAATTATTTGGAAACTAAATAAAAAACACATGAATCGATCGTGTAATAATCATTTTCTATAATTTTGTGTTCTTGATTTATGTTGAAACTCGTGTGATCTATTAATAATTAATTTTTCGAAAATTGAGGAGGTCTATGGTGAAACTTGGAAATCTTCAGTTGGTGAGGAGAAAAAAATAATTTTCTCACGATCCCCGCACGAAAAAATCTAATAGAAAAACATTGCGAATTCGCTAGAAAATTGTATAGGATTTCTATAGAACTTTCTATAAGTTTTTGACCGTTTCTATTGACACATTCGATAGAAAATATTCTGTAGGAGAAGACAATAGAATTCGACTTTTCTATACAACTTATTCTACTGAAGATTTTCTATAGATTTTCTTCAACTCTATTTTTCTAAGTTTTCTGAAGAAAAGGAAATTAGGATGAAGAAAAAAATCAGAAAATTTGAGCTTAGAAAAATCTATATAGAAAATATTTCAATAGAATAAGTTGTATAGAAAAATCAAATTCCATTGACTTCTTCTATAGAATATTTGTTATTGAACGTGTCAATAGAAACGGCCAAAAATTTATATAAAATTCTATAGAAATCCTAAGGAATTTTCTAGCGAATTCGCTAGGTTTTTCTATTGAATTTTTTCGTACGTGTCTACTTAAATTAAATATAATAACAACAAAAGAAGGAAGAACCGTTTGGCAACTATTTCAGATATTTCCAACGAACGAGCTAATCGTTGACAGTTCATAATCCTCCAATGAATTAATTCAGCTTCCATTCTAGTGAGCGGAAATCGTCACTTTCGCTTTCAAAAATTCTTATTTTTCGTTTTTTTTTGCATTAATTTTTGCCTCAAACAACATTTGAGTAGTTATTGAGACATATTAGATATTAATTTGTCATAAATTGAATAAATTATGATCCGGATTTCTCATCTCTCTTGCTAGTTCTCTCGTCTCTCGCCTTGCCTCTCTCGTCTTGTCTCGCGGCCGGGCGAGACAAGAGACTCGTTCTCTTGTCTCGTCTCTCGCGCAGTTTCTCCCGTCTTGTCTCGCCGTCCACGCTCTCTTTCGTAATGCGAAAACAGTGTTGTGACATTAAACGGCAATCGATGGAAAAGTGACACAATTGGTCTTGATACGAAAATGTAGACTGTGTACTCACGGTTGACATGATTGATGTAGTAAGCGCCCACGTGTTTGTCGTATGCCTCCTCCCAGCCAAGGGGCAACTCATTCCCAATGCAGTCCGCGAACGTCTGAGGCTTCGTAAATCTGTAATAAAAACAAATTGAGAGGATTTTTAATTAAAAATTATTCAATAAATGTGTTGCATCATCGAAATTTCCGGAAAATTTAATTAGTTAAGGTAGTGGTGGGGGCAATCATATCGGATTAACCGTCAAGAGATTTTCATTCAATCAATAAAATCAACATTCTTTCATAATTTAGAATTTCTGAAACAAGATGATTTCATTTTGAGATTATTTTTTTGCATTCGAACGAAAGTTTTTTATTCGTTCAAATTTAGGGTCTCATTTGTTATTAAATAACTAACTGAATATATGGTTTTAAAAGTCCGAATATGGGAGTTTTAGACAGTGTCTGTATGTATGTATCTATTTTGTAAATTTAGTTTTCTCAAAATTTTCGAAAAATTGATTTTCAACAGTCACTTGAAAAATCATCATGAAAACACAATTTTTCATGGCTTAAAAGAATTATGGCAATAGAATCGTCGCATTAGCAGTTGAGTTACAGCATATCGTTTATGTAATTTCTTTTCAAGAATAGATTTTTTCACCGTTACTCAAAAAATTACCAGCAATATCAATCAAATTACGATTAGGTAAATTTGTTTCAATTAGTTCTTAATCAAATTAGAAGATGGTCGTAAAAACACAATTACTTATCGAGTTACACGATATAGTGGCATCAGCGTTACGTATCGGACCTTTACAAAACTCCCATATCAGTATATTATATTGGATACTTATACATATTCATTGATGCTTTCACCCAGGTGAAATACTGACTAAACTTTGATTAAACTGCGATTAAACGTAGGTTGGAGTTTAGCTAAACCTCGACTAAAATTCAGTAGCGAAGTGGTAAACCGGTTTAAGTTGACTCATCTCCCAGTTGAGTTTTTGAGGAATACTTCCAAATCTAACGGAGATAGCGAAATTTTCGTAATTACATTTGTTATAGCTCACCATCGGCTCTACAACAAAGGTTATAACGAAAATTTTGCCATCTCCCTTAGATTCCGAGATATTTATTGAAACCTGGTCATTAGTCAAAATTGACTTATACCGTTTTACCACTTCGCTACTGAAGTCCTTCTCACTCGTATCGAAATATACTAATTCGTCACATGAACAATTTCTGGCGAATATGAGTTTGCAGCCGAAGGCGAGGGTTGCAATCATGAAAGCTAGAAAAGTTTTTCGGCCTTATGACGAAATCCGCTGAATTGTCCCTTGGTTTGTAAAGCCTCGCTTCACGTATGAAAAAATCGTTTGTCATAGGGCCCAGAATCACGCGATTCTAACCTCGCTTCGCTCGGTAGAATCGCGGATTCTGGGCACTATGACATAAAATAGTATACGAAACTCGTGCGTTATGGTGTTTTTTGACTCGTGGGATTGTAAAACTCGCCTTCGGCTCGTTTTACAACTTTCCACGAGCCAAAATAGTATATTTCAGCACGTGTGGGGCAATTTCGTCTTTAACGTGTGTGGGGTTTACAGCATGAGCCGAAGGCGAGTGATGTAACCACACACGTTAAGGACGAAATTTCCCAACAAGTACTGAACAAAATTTTATGTCACGAAGCCTGAAACCGGCTGAATTAGACACGAGACGCGAAGCGTCGAGTGTGTAATCCAGCCGGTTTCAGGCATGAGTGGCATAATATACTATTATATGATACGTGCGTGTAACCGCATGGTTTCAGTTGACTACAGTCAACTGAAACCCGAAATAACGCATGACGCGCATGCGCATCACCTATTAAAAAAGAATAACAAGGAAGGAAATCTAACCTCCGAATAGTGAATACATTGAATGACTGAAAAATGAAAAGGTGATTTTCGAAGCAGATAAAATGAGCCAAAATCGTATAATTCCTGATAGTGATGAAGAGTTAGGCAGTGAGGAGAATTTATTTACTGATGAGGAGGAGTTTATTGGTGATGTGACATTTGAAGAAAATGGAAATAGAATATTCTCCGATTTTTCAATTACGTTTTGTATCATATTTTTTTATAATTATAACTTTCTTTTTTTTGCGAATTCTTAATGATTTTTAAAAATTGTATTTTGTAATTATTATAATTAATTTTTTTCAATTAAAAATACTTTACAAGTTTTTTGAACTACATATTCAATGAATATAATTAATTTTTTCTCCAGAAGTTCCGCATAATTTTTAAATCACACTTTTTTATAATTATTTTTTTAAATAAATGTGATCTTTTTTCTTCAGTGGCGAAGCCCCCCCCCCCCAAATATTTCAGCACGTGTGGGGCAATTTCGTCTTTAACGTGTGTGGGGTTTACAGCATGAGCCGAAGGCGAGTGATGTAACCACACAAGTTAAGGACGAAATTTCCCCACAAGTACTGAACAAAATTTTATGTCACGAAGCCTGAAATCCAGCCGGTTTCATGCATGAGTGGCATAAAAGTGTTTTTTGGCGAGTGGGATGTTTCCCACGAGCTAAAAAACATTTTTTCACGAGTTACGAACAATATTTTTCATCACAATGTGGCGGAAATTGGACTTTTAGGCACGCGGAGCGTGCCGAAAAGTTCACTTTTCGTCACAGCGTGATGAAAAGGTGATTTTCGAAGCAGATCAAATGACCCCAAATCGTATAATTCCTGATAGTGATGAAGAGTTAGGCAGTGAGGAGGATTTATTTACTGATGAGGAGGAGTTGATTGGTGATGTGATATTTGAAGAAAATGGAAATGAAATATTCTCCAATGAAGCAGCAGCAGGATCGCCAAAAACTCCTTCTTCGATCAAATACTATAACTTAAGGGCTTTATTGAATTCTAATGATCAAAATAATGTCAAGGAAACACAGAGAAAAAATATTTTCGCTTTTCAGAGACATGTCACCGAAGCTTCACTGAAATTTGGTGATTGATTTCTAGAAATTAGTGATAAGTCATTGAGAATTCAGTAACGAAAATGAAATTTTTCAATCACACTTTTTTATGATTACTTTTTTAAATAAATGTGATCTTTTTTCTTCAG